ATTTTATTTGGGCTTAACCTTCAGATTATCATATTTTAGAAGTTTCAGGTCGTCTTTACAGTCTCATTATTTGCGGGTAACATCACTAGTGCAATCAACAAGTTGACCTTCATAAAACTCTAAGAAAATATTCAAACCTTGCAAAAAAGTCTAATCAATAATTAGAATTTTCTTAACATTTAAAAGTTAAGTAACCATTGTTATCTATTGTAAATGATAATTTGCTAAAGAAATTGAGTCTTTTCCACAAACCTTGATTGTCTAATTCCTAAATCTTTGCAATCCTCTGGTGTAGACCTTCAAACTATGATTTCTTTTAGATTAAATAGTTTATATTTAAAATATCAAAAGTTTACTTGACTAGATATGAAAAATAAAGAGATTGAAAAATTTGAGTTTGTGGCAAAGACTTAATTTCTTTATGATTAATTCTAAACACTAGATTATAGATTATACATAGATGAGTTGCCACAAAAAATGTGGGTCCAATTAATTTCATCCGTTTCAATCAGATACAAACAAACAAACAAAGGAAATAGACGTATAGTTTGCTTTCAAATAAACAATAGACTAATAATACGGTCAAAAGATAAATAGAACAAAACCCCGGTCTTTTTCATTACTTTTATCTCCATTTGTCGCAGATTTGACTTGAAAAATCTAAATATGCTTTGTTATATATTGTTTAAGATACTAATATAGTTCTTCAGTTTAGTTTAGTTTTCAATACATTTTCCTCATTACAGATGGTTTTTCCTGCTCAGAAAAAGAAAGAAAAAAAACCACGCCTTATTAATTGCACATGAAAATTACAGTCTATCATTATTTAAATTAATTTGGTCAGAATTTTAAATTTATAAAAGAATTGAATAAAATAAGATATATGAAGAAAACAAGATATTTTGAAAAAACCACAAAAACAAATGTCTATTTTTTTTTTATTTTACTGTTAACAAAAATATTAGTTGTTTCTTACTTTTTTGGCGGGTTTCCCTTAATTTTTTCTTATTAAGCTTCCAGTAATGTAATCGTCAATGTTATCGTTTACAAAAATAGTGTGTTATCAACAAATTATAATCCAACAAAATTTAAATTTAAATTTAAATTTTAAAAAATCAGTTTCTGTAAAGGTTAAAAATAAATAAGTTAAACAGCAGATAGTTTCGCCAGACCCACAATTGCTGTGTCTTATGCTCTTTGGACTTTTTAAAGTTACAACTTGATTTTAAAAGTCGTCTTTCTAGTTCAGAGTTTTCTGGTTATCACTGTAGACTTTACAATGGTCATGACAAGTTGAAATATACATTGGTCCCCAAAATAAAGTGAAATTATAAGTCAAATTTCAAACCAAAGATAGTGTTAGAAATGGTCCAAAAAAATAAAATAAAACTCTGTATATGATCAGTTTTCTTGATATTATATTAAATCATTAATATCAACTTATAATATTTTATTTCCTGGCCATGGCAACAAAATAAGACTAAGGGGAAAGTACAAATGTTACAAATGTAGGTTCAAAATAAAATATAAAACTAACTCGGAAATTTAGACTGAAAAATATTCTGTTAAGGTCAGTTTTCAACAAGTGGTGATTTTTAACCGTTTTCTTAGAATTTTAAAGTGCAAGAAAATGGGTATTGAAAAGATGATCCGAAGAAAATTTCTTAAAACGTATAAAAATTCTTTTTTATAATCCACAAAAAGATTATAATAGGACTTGAAAAGAATGAACATTGAATACAAATTTTGTAATCAAAAAGCAGAACGTACTTATAGTAATTAGCTGAACAATCATCGATAATTTTTCGACACATTCGTATAGTAAATATTTCATAATAATCTTTGTTTTTTATGATCTTATAGTTATTTTTAAAACATTTATTCCTGTTTCGAGGATTTTTTTTCATAATGAAGACGACATTTTCATATTTTCCAGGAATGTTAAAAATTCAGCGCCAGCGAAATATTATTTAATAATCAAAATGAAAAATGTTATGAAATATTAACTATATACGAATGAGTCGAAAAATATTCGATGACTATTGTTTGTAATATCTGAATGATTTGTTTTGAATTAAATTGAGTATTTTGTTGGACGCTACATTCTTAGGTATAAGCCTTTTTTTTTAACAATTTTCTCCTTTTAGACGCAACAGATAAAAGTAAGATTAGTAGCTATTAAAAGCGCTCATTTTTCGCCGAATGCCTATACCCCCGTTTAATTTTTTCGTGAAAAAAATATTTTTAAAATTCCACTTCAGCTAGTATATAAATAAACTTTTATCTATGTATAAAATTGGCTTGTCTGTCTGTTTGTCTGTCTGTCTGTCTGTTTGTATCCAATAAACGTCAAAACGGCTGAACCGATCGGGCCCAAATTTTTTGTGGGACATCTAGGGACCCCAGGGAAGGTTTATGAATGATTGAAATTTTAAATATGTGTCTCCATCAAATTGGATCTTCATTAAATTCCCATTTTCTTTCCTCCACTCCCCCCCTTACCTTTCCTTTCCTCATACTTTCCTAATTCTCATCAGATTTCGCCTCTTTTCTTCATCCCTTCCCCTTTTGCTTCATCCCTTACCTCCTTTTACGTAAATCTCTTTCCCTTTTATATCATCCCTATGTTTCATATCTTAACTCTTTTTCTTTATACCTTTCGCCTTTTCTTCATCCCTCAAACCCTTTCTTCATCCCTCAAACCCTTTACTTCATCCCTCAAACCCTTTTCTTCATCCCTCAAACCCTTTTCTTCATCCCTCTCCCCTTTTCCTCATTCCTCTCCACCCTGTTTTTTCATCCCTCTTCCTCTTAACTTTAATCCTTTCTCCATTTTCTTCATTCATCTCTTCCTTCCCTTCCGACCAACAATTTAACCGTAATTTTTCGATCTTTAACTGTAAACACAATAATATATTAAAACAGGTGATGGTAAAGGTTAGATTTGTTAACGGGAGAAGAAAGATAAACCAGTTGGTATTTAAGGTGTATGACACGAGCTGATCTATCCTAAAGTATATATACAACCAACTTCCTACTCTTAGACATTCAACACAGGTTTTAAGTAAATATCTATTTTGTTCTTCATTCCAGTAGTCGGTGTGTTTTGTTGTCTAATTCTCCGACTAAATACAATTCTACTATACAATTATTAGACTAGTTGCCCAGTCTACTGTACAATTATCAGACTAGTTGTCCAATCTACTGTACAATTATCAGACTAGTTGTCCAATCTACTGTACAATTATTGAACTAGTTGTCCAGTCTACTGTACACTTATCAGACTAGTTGTCCAATCTACTGTACATTATTAGACTAGTTGTCCAGTATACTGTACATTATCAGACTAGTTGTCCAGTCTACTGTACACTTATCAGACTAGTTGTCCAATCTACTGTACATTATTAGACTAGTTGTCCAGTATACTGTACATTATCAGACTAGTTGTCCAATCTTCTGTACAATTATCAGACTAGTTGTTCAATCTACCGTACATTATCAGACTAGTTGTCCAATCTAGCGTACAATTATCAGAATATAGTTGTCCAATCTACTGCACAATTATCAGTCTGGCTGTCTAAACTGTTGTAAATAATTAGTCTGGTTGTCCAAACTGCTGTAAATAATTAGTCTGGTTGTCCAAACTGTTGTAAATAATTAGTCTGGTTGTCCAGACTGCTGTACAATTAATGTTAATATCCTGGTGTTTACAGGTTCAAATGATTTTATTACTTTCTATTCCAATTCTTAAATCCAAGCGAATATGAAGACTTTAACACCCCAATTTTTATTAATTCATCCTTTTGCGGATTCATGAAATTAAATTTTGATCAACATCATAATTTAAATAATTTTTTTATTCATCAATTGTTTTGGTGGAATTCTTCCAGTGTAGATTCCATCCCTGGAATCTCTGTATACACTATACAGTCCTGAGCCCTACATCACTCAGTTCAATTTTAACCGTGACTGTGATATTATGTCTGGTGCTCCTGTATCCTGTATCCTGTACCCTATATTCTGCATCCTGTATTATGTTTCCTGTATTTTTATTTATGTTTCCTGTATTCTGTACCCTGTACCTTTTATCCCCCACAATATAATTCTGATTTAAATAATCTAAAAATGGTAAAAACAAATGACTTATCAATGGATGATTAAGTCTACAATTAGGAATCAACTTTTTCAGCTATGCATTGAACTCAATATAAAAGTAATTATGATTGTGAATCCTAAATAGTATCCAGTGTTGAAATCTAGGATGAAATCTATATTATTAATTTGTTCACGGTTCACAGGGAACCAATATAGGAAGAAAGTTTTTTGGTCGCGGTTCTACATAATTTGACCAGAGACTAGATTAAACAGTTTAAATGAAGCAGCAGCGATGCAATGCAGGAGATTCAATGTAGGAGAAGAAATTTAGATGGTGCAATCTAGGAGATGCAATTTAGGAGATGCAATGTTCGAGATGCAATGTAGGAGATGCAATGTTCGAGATGCAATGTAGGAGATGCAATTTAGGAGATGCAATGTAGGAGATGCAATGTAGGAGATGCAATGTAGGAGATGCAATGTAGGAGATGCAATGTAGGAGATGCAATGTTGGAGAAGCAATGAAGGGGATGCAATGTAGGAGAGGCAATGTAGGAGATGCAATGTAGGAGATGCAATGTAGGAGAGGCAATGTAGGAGATGCAATGTAGGAGATGCAATGTATGGGATTCAATGTAAGATATGCTATGTAGGCTGCAGAGTGCAGATGCAATATAAACTTTCTTCACTGAAATGCCTGACTCGTGAAAAACAAGTCCATCTGTTACTAATCCAAATTTTAAGAAAGTAATCTGACAACAATCTTTGAATGGATTAGTTCCTATTATTGGCTAATTTAACATTTCACTTGAAACATACAAAATTGAGTCAAAATTGAGTCATACAAAATTCTTTAATACGTTTTCACATTCTGTTCATTTCAATATATACGATGACAAATAGGAATAATTCTATTTCAGAAAAAAAATACTTTAAAGAACATCTTAATGAATACGAATAAAAAATGCTAATTTTAAACGTTTATAGCGTGGTTTGTCTAATTTTACTATCTTCCACATTTGCGCAGGTATTAATACATTTAAATATTTCCTTTTTCCTCATTCTTTTTTTTACTATTCTGCCATAAAGTGCCATTATTGATTCATAAAGTATAATGGTCCTATTGAAATAGCTTGGTATACCATTGTATGCTCATTTGCTGTTTTTATTTGTTTTGGGACAAATCTTTGCCATTATTTTTGGGGGGTTTGCTGTTTTCTTGATATTAAAACAATTTTTAGAATATTTTGACTATGGATGAGAAAATGATTTTTTTACCATAAAACTATTATGATGAAAATTAAAATGTCGTTTTTGAATGTTAAGAAACAAAAAACTGATGTTTTTTTTATATATCCGTGAAGATAAAATAAACTGTTCAGGATTATGATTATGTAAGTGAATGTCCAGAAGAAAACGGATTTTTTGCGGACGCTGTTCAATGTGATAGATACTATGAATGCAAGGATGGAGAGGTAAGAGTTAAATACAGTGGTCACCATGATAAACTAGAATAATTGTCTAACTTGTAATTAGAAATACAGAATACATACATATAGAAAACATATATATAATACATACATATAGTAAACATATATATAATACATACATATAGAAAACACTATAATAATAGTTGAAGATTTTTGCCTGTAACATTATAACTTGTATGTGTATTTTCAGCAATAAACTATATCATATCTTATCTTATCTTATTCATTCATATTTTTATTCAACTACAAAGCACGAGATAATACAAATAAAAAGTATAAAAATTCTTTTTTATAATCCACAAAAAGATTATAATAGGACTTGAAAAGAATGAACATTGAATACAAATTTTGTAATCNGTTCTTATCTTATCTATCGAGAATTATTTAATTCGTGACAATCATTTCTCAAAAAAAAAGAAAATTTGTTTTGAAGTCAGAATTTTTGTATTGTGAATCTTGGGTTTAAGCATTGATCTCCATCTTATGCAGACCTATGGGTTAATTTAATTCCTCTATGATATCCCGTGGTGATCTTACCCAGGGAGTAAAGAACTGACGCGGTTCGCCCTACCATATGATTATACATGCTTTGCAGACGGTACTTCATTTGAATAAGAAATATTTGTCTGATGTACAATTACCGAGTTTAGAATAACCTATTCTGAATATTTCTTATACAAATGGAGTACCCGCCTGCAAAGCATGCATACTCATAATGGTAGGGCGAACCGCGTCACTTTTATCTCCCTTCTATTCCTTACTCCCTGGTTATACCCCTATACAGGCATAACTTGACTAATTGAGAAGATCAAAGAAACTCCAAACAAAAGTTCTGACCTCTAAACATTATAAAGATACATAAATAACAAAGTTACAAATAAGAAATCCTTAGCGTTATTTCTGATGGAGAGAAAAAGTGAAGACGACATTTATTTCGCTTTTAATCGGTAAACTAAACAATTATGTGTTCTCTCACTGTATTTATGTTTTGGTGTTTTGGCGAATCTAATAATATATAATAATATAAAGTAAAAATCCAAAGCAGTCTGTCTGTTTGTTTGGTTGTCGCTCTGGGACCCCTGGTCCTATTTGCCTCAAATTTTGAAGGGAACTAGATTCCCAGAAATGGTCTTGGCATAGTTGAGAGGGTCGACTTTTCAAGGGAAACTCCGGGGAAAGCTGGGTATATAAAACAGTCAACATTTCAGACATTTTTCAAATTATATAAAGATATCTCTATACTTTCTTTAAAGGTGTGTAAATTTAAAATCCTGCAAACACCATTCACGAGATACATGGCTTCATTTGATTAAAACATTTAATAAAGGTTTTTTTTTCACAATTTACATTTTTTCTGGTTTAAATTTAAATTCATCATAAAGTTACTGAGAAATTGACTCAAACTATGCCAAACCTTATTTTGTAGACCTTTGATCCTATGAATTATTTTTGTTTGCTAGATTTTTTTTTGTTGCAAATAGTCAAAGTTTGAATTATCAAAGGTTTACACAATATCAAAATGTTAAAATTAAAAGTTAAGACAAGTGTTGTAATGATATTGATAAGAAGAAATTAAAATGAGAAAGGATATGAATGAAGGGCATGCATTAATTTAATCCAAGGCCAGACATATCGGTTGCAATCGTTAAATGTCTAGATATATTAAGCTTGCATTGGAATTCCAGGACTCCAGAGTCCAGGGCTTAGAGTGGTTAAACCAGTAGAGGAGGAACAAAATAAAAGTCGGCTTATTGTTTAACAAAAGGATACATAAGAATATTTATAAATTAATTTAATTTAATGTTTATGAATTACCATTAATGATAATTTAATTTAACTGATTGCCAGAAATGAATGTGACTAAAGTTTTAAATAATTTGTTGCACAATAAACTTCAGATCCCAAAAACAGTGAATCATTTAAGTTTGTTAAACATTTTCATTGAAACATTATTTATCCATTGTCTGAGCAATTTTTGTATTTTTTTCAATTTTATAAATATAATTTAAACTTTTTTCAGAAATTATATTTATTTCAATCTTGTTCTCCAAAAATTTACTAGTTTATATAATATTTGCAAAATTGAAAATATTTTTAGATTATTTTGCTTTTAAATTGAAATATAAATTCCATTAAAATTATATTTAACTACAAAAGTTCAAGAATTTCAGATTATTTAAAATTTTCAGCAAAATTATGATGTTGGGGTTTTTCAAATTTCACGTGCACAGCTATATACACAGAACAGAGATTAGAATGGAAGGGAAATAAGACTAATCCTTCGGTATGAATTTTTTTAGTACCTGAGAGCCTGAAAAGAAGTGTACATTTATGTAAATATTCACAAATTAAACGCATTAATACAGTATGATTCCTGGACATATTCGTTACAATTTCATCTTTTTATAAAGTTTATGCTAAAAATGAACTCGGGAATGTAAAGTAAAGTTGATGCTAAAAATTAACTCGGGAATGTAAAGTAAAGCTTATGATAAAAATGAACTCGGGAATGTAAAGTAAAGTTAATGCTGAAATGAACTCGGGAATGTAAAGTAAAGTTTATGCTAAAAATGAACTCGGGAATGTAAAGTAAAGTTGATGCTAAAAATTAACTCGGGAATTTAAAGTAAAGCTTATGATGAAAATGAACTCGGGAATGTAAAGTAATGTAGATGCTGAAATGAACTCGGGAATGTAAAGTAATGTTGATGCTGAAAATGAACTCGGGAATGTAAAGTAAAGTTGATGCTGAAAATGAACTCGGGAACGTAAAGTAAAGCTTATGATGAAAATGAACTCGGGAATGTAAAGTAAAGTTGATGCTGAAAATGAACTCGGGAATGTAAAGTAAAGCTTATGATGAAAATGAACTCGGGAATGTAAAGTAAAGTTGATGCTGAAAATGAACTCGGGAATGTAAAGTAAAGTTGATGCTGAAAATGAACTTGGGAATGTAAAATAAAGTTGATGCTGAAAATGAACTCGGGAATGCATGACAGACTGTCAGAGAATTGATTGAGAGAAAAGTAAATAATTTTGAAGAATATTTTTCTCTATAAAAAAGCTTATAGCACAAATGTGTGAAGTACACCTCCAGTATGGAAACATTATAGCAAAATGGCGGTTTTACACTTTTTAATCTTCAAATTAGAATTCAAGATGGCGAATATTTGTTGTATAAAGATCAAGTGTTTTATTAGTCTGAGGATTTGTATTCGGACGATGAGAATTCAAGATGGCGGATATTTGTTGAAAAATTATAAAGATCAAGTGTTTTATTAGTCTGAGCATTTGTGTTCGGATGATTATAATTCAAGATGGCGGATATTTGTTGTTTATGATAAAGATCAAGTGTTTTATTAGGTGTCTGAGCATTTGTGTGCTGACGGTTTAGTGTTTGATGAGACGAGTCATGGATTTGCTAAATGCAGTTTTCCATTCAGGTCTAACTAATATTATACTGATATTCAACAGGTCAGATCATTAATCTTACACGTTTGATCTCTATATCTAATGTGGGCACTTTTGAATTTTAGAATAAATGCTTGTTCCCTCCATTAAAGTTATCCCTGCAGGGCTTGAACACCACAGGATCTCGAAAAGGGATTAATTTAATCCGTAGGTCTGTTTAAAATGGAGATCAATGTTTGAGACAAAAGTTCCGACCTGTAAATTCAAAAACTGAACACTCGAAATAAATTATAATTTACTAATCCATATCTTTGCAACCTAATATCGTGACTTTAAATATTACAAGCTATTGATCTAACTAAATTCAGATATTGTACTTGCAAAGGTCTATATTTTCAAGTTGCAAAGATATAAGAATTTAAAAATTATATTGTGTTCGGATCTTTTTTTAAATTTAAAACGTGTCAAGTTTTAAAGAAAATGAAAAAAAGAATTTAAACCAATGAATTTCACAGTAAAAAACAGGCTTTTTTCAATAACTTGTTTATCCCAGTCTAAACTGTGAAGGAAGACCAGAGCTGCAGAAACCTAAACCTTCTCCAGGGTGCCCTAGGTAAATATTAAATACAAAACCTTCTCCAGGGTGCCCTAGGTAAATATTAAATACAAAACTTTCTCCAGGGTGCCCTAGGTAAATATTAAATACGAAACCTTCTCCAGGGTGCCCTAGGTAAATATTAAATACAAAACCTTCTCCAGGGTGCCCTAGGTAAATATTAAATACAAAACTTTCTCCAGGGTGCCCTAGGTAAATATTAAATACGAAACCTTCTCCAGGGTGCCCTAGGTAAATATTAAATACAAAACCTTCTCCAGGGTGCCCTAGGTAAATATTAAATACGAAACCTTCTCCAGGGTGCCCTAGGTAAATATTAAATACAAAACCTTCTCCAGGGTGCCCTAGGTAAATATTAAATACAAAACTTTCTCCAGGGTGCCCTAGGTAAATATTAAATACGAAACCTTCTCCAGGGGGCCCTAGGTAAATATTAAATACAAAACCTTCTCCGGGATGCCCTAGGTAAATATTAAAAACAAACACTTCTCTAGGGTGCAAATGGTAAATATTAAAAACAAAACCTTCTCTAGAGTGCTCTAGGTAAATATTAAAAACAAAACCTTCACTAGAGTGCTCTAGGTAAATATTAAAAACAAAACCTTCTCTACGGTGCTCTAGGTAAATATTAAAAACAAAACCTTCTCTAGGGTTCTCTAGGTAAATATTTAATTCAAAACCTTCTCCAGTGTACCCTGGGTAAATATTAAAAACAAAACCTTCTCCAGGGTGCGCAAGGTAAATTATCAAAAACTATACCTTCTCCAGGGTGCCCAAGGTAAATATTAAAAACAAAACGTTCTCCAAGATGCCCTAGGTAAATATTTAATTCTAAACCTTCTCTTGGGTGCCCTATAAGGCAAATATTTAATTCAAAACCTTCTACTGGGGGCCCTAGGTAAACAATTAATTCAAAACCTTCTCCAGGGGGCCGTAGGTAAATATATAGTTCAAAACCTTCGCCAGGGGGCCCTAGGTAAATATATAGTTCAAAACCTTCGACAGGGGGCCATAGGTAAATATTTAATAAACAAAATAATCATACATTTAATTACTGGATAAAACTATTTCAAACAAACTTTTTCAGAGCTAACGGATATTTCCCTGACCCTGACCCAACAGTATGCGACGTCTTCCATTTCTGTGTTGATGGTGTACCAAACCGTGTCACGTGTCCTAGGAATACAACAGAATTAAACAATTTTACGCGGCAAGCTTACAAATGATTGAATGTATGAATTAGAGCTTGGCACAGAGAACGGGAAACAAAAGATTTTGCATTTAACGTGCGGAATTTTCTGTTTATATTATGTATAATTCAGAAATAAAACGGTTCTTCAAGAAACTGCAATGTCAAAAACCAACAACGCGTTCTATAATAATAATGTTCTGATTTTAATAGGCATAAGACCCTTCATCCATCTTAATCCTGAAAAATATATTTAACATTCTCTTAATTGGTAAGACATTGTTAACGATCAAAGGTTGTTAACGATCACACGTTGTTTACGATCAAACATTATTAACTACCAAACATTAACGATTAAACATTAATAACGACCAAAAATTTTTAACGATGAACCATTTTTAACAATCCGATTTAAAGCCTAAACCTTCACAAACAATAAAACGTTTTTGAAAACAATTAACGAATGATCCAGTTTAAAGCCATCGCTAACGAACGTGGAAATAATGATTTTATATAACTGAGAACGTGCTTTCTTTACAGAAACATCAGACAGAAACAGTTAAAGTACTGATTGACTCATAAATTCCTGGCTCGATCCTGCAAACCCTCTTTTCACTTTTCAACAAATTTCCCTTGAAACAAAACTAACTTCTCAAAAGATAAAAGAAATATTGTATAAAACATAATAGAAATGAAGTCAATTATCTTTTTTGTTAAACTATATATATAGGTAGCAATTAGGTGAATTGTTAATCTACAGAAAATATTTCCAAGATTTCCAGATAATACATGATTAACTTCCAACAAGAAACCTGCAACATCATAAACTTTTAATTTCAAGTTAATTGTTCTGTCCAACATTTGTTATCTGCCGACAAGATTTTGCAATACAAATACAAATGTAAATAACACGAATTTAACAAAAACAAAAACATCTTCTCAACCTAAATATTACTCATTAGACCTTACAATGTCTATATACCGAAAAAAACATTATATATATATATATATATATATATATAGCAC